TTTTGGGAGTGTAAGTTTCTGTACAAACAGGTCATTTGAGCTGAAAGCTAAGCAGCTCACCATAAAAATGTTTGCATTTATGTGTTGTTTTTAATATTAATCATCTCATTTTATCATGTTAGCATGCTTAAATTTGATAATTCCATTGATAGTAGATAGCACAGTCCCACTCCTGATTTAATGAATCATTAGTCAGAACTCCTTAGCATCATATTTGAACAAATCCAAAGTATAAGTTTTTAATGTGCATGGTTAAAGTTGTGATCAGGCAGATTTTAACTGAAGCCAGACTTTTTCTGAACACAGCTGAGCGGTTGTGCTGCTGAGAGTATTAAAGCAAATCTCCTAAATGGGATATAAAATTACAGATTGACAGAGGAGATTTTTGTGAGTGCTTGAACAGTTTAGAGGTAGATGTTGTATGTTTAAAGGTAAACCAGCATTGGTACAGTTGCATATGCAAATTTTGCTAAAAGCATGGTTTGCTAATGGTTTCACTGCTAAAGGAACAAATAAAGTAGGTATCTAAAGAAATGTATATTGGTCGTTAACAGCTGCAAACAGATTAACAAGTGAAATTAATGTAACAAATATGATAGGATACAGTTCACTACGGTGAGAAATTGGCAACCAGTACAGACACCTCTTACCCTATGAGAGGAAGGGCTAAGCTACACCCACCTTCTAACTTGATATTTTATGGCCGGAATAGCCGGGGTGTTTGTACAGCGAATCCAAAAGCAGAAAAGGGAAAGACGGAACTGAATCAAACTGAACACGTACATGGGGAAACATGAACCTGAGCAGTAGAAATAAAACTTGACATGACTTGACGTGGAGACAACAGACAACCCAACAAAGAACAGAGGGAGATAGAGGACTTAAACACACAGAAGGGTAATGAAGGAAGCAGAAACAGCTGACACAAATGATCATGACACCACAGGTAAAAGTAAAACGAACACACTGAACATGGAAACACTAGACGTTTTCAAATGAAAACAGGAAACATAGAGAGACACAGACATGACAACCAAACTTGACAATAGGATGTGGAACACACAGACATGAATTACATGACAGACTCGGGGAACAGAAAGGAACACAGGGAGAAGGACATGGCAACGGATAAGGGAGACGAGAGGGAGAGGGAAACACAAGGGGAGCTCACACATGACAAACAGGAAGAGACTCATGAAGACATTAATGAAACATAGACTACAATACCACTCAACTAAACCCTAACTAAATAACAACACAAGAAGTTTGCATTCATGCAGTCTAACATAAGAAAATCAAAAATACAAAATAAACTCAAAATGCTGGGTCACAGACCCAGCCCCTGACAGGATAAGTGCTTAAAAAATGGATGGGTGCATAGATGGATGGATGGTTAAAATGGTTAACTATGACTTAGAATTGCTGAACACAAAATTATAACAAGGCCACCTCAGCTAAGGACATTAAAGTTGTTGTTGAGGGTTTGGGGTTTTGGCTGAAGGGACCTTAAGATAGAAGACAGTTGGAAATCATCTCTCAATATTTTGATTGTCACTGGTTAGATAAACTACAAAGTAGTAAGTTACTGGGTTACAGTAGTAGAAAGTATATAAAAAACATTACTCTTGCTAGTTTTCAGATGTGCTTATTTCATCAGATTACTGCTCTATCATGTCTTACCTCTATCAACAGAACAGGATGGAGTTTTTCCCCCATAAATGTATCTTCACAAGAAAAGAAAGTGAAGGATTGGAGAAGACATGAATTACGACAAATTACTGTCATCTTTGTGATGTGTTGCTTTGTATTTTTGAGATTTCCTTTGTCATATAGACTAATGAGCTCCATTTTCGAAGGATGCTTAAGTGAAGGGAAACAACTGACATGCCCAAGGGGCTGCGCAGTACGCAGCACAGTTTGCTGTCTACCTTTTTAATATTCTCATTGTATTCCCTTGTGAAGTCCTATTGGCATAAATGAAAGCATATAAAAATAGCAAACAATTACTCAGTGTTGACTCCGATCCCTTCGTTGTGTGCAGTGTATTGTGGGTTTTTACATCAGATTTGATTAGGCTCCTGAATGTAATGATAAAGTTATGGTGTGTTCACTTTAGATGTGCCAAATCAATCCGTCTGTCAGACTCTATGTCGTCACTCTGGATGGCAGCGCTCTCACAACTGAACTGAAACCTCCTGACAGTTTTGAGAAAAGGTATGACTTAACCCGTTTATGGGACGTAACACTAAAATTTTAATGATTCGGGCTTGTTTTAGACACCATTTGCTTGTCTTCCCTAGTGAGTTCTACATTACCATGGTGAAGTGGGTGACAAAAGAGAGACTGAGCGTGCGCTGGGTGAATCGAGCTCAAAACATGTCTATTCTTTCACTGTGTGATGTAACACAAGACATCTGTACAAAGGTTAGAAACCTAATTATCATCGATAATTCCTTAATCTTCAAAAACATAGTAAATATATACAGGTTTCATAACCTTATTTATCTTTTCAATTCAGAAACATGTGATGACATCGGACAAGTGGCTGGATTGTCAGGTGAGGACTTTAGTCAGTGACATCCTAAATCGTTTTTTCTTCATTTTTTTGTAAGAAATGCTTTTAAGATACTACTTGTTTTTAATTTAATGTTATGGGACACATATATTTGAATTCTATATATAGCTGATTATATATTATATATCTATACATATCAGCTAACAAGGCTTTGTATTTAGCTTGCAAAGATTAGAGGCATTTTCTCCACCCAGTAACGAGTGATAACCCCATTCATTCCCCTTAGATTGAGAGCCTCAGCAGAAAACCAACAGTTGCTCTTTCTGACCTGTAGCTGTGAACTAGAGTTTTGCTTAGCTTCTAGGTGGTTCTTTAAAATATGAAGTAGAGCTCTTTAGCAGCTCTATAGCTGCTGACAGATACGTATAATAATTACTTGTCACCCTAACAAATACTTCCACAATGTAAAGGTTGGGCTGCTATCTTGCTAGCTGACCTTGCTGACATCACTGTGGGAGTGGAAACATTCCACTTGTACAGAAACTAGATTTTCTGTTCTCCTCTTTTGTCACAACAAAAGTTAACCTTTTAACAGTGATACATTGCTCATTTGAATAAACAGTAAAAGAAAGTAATAAATACCTGATCTTATTGCACTGCACTGATCTTACTTAGGACCTCCAAACTAGTGACTGCAGATGGCTGCTCCTCTCCAGGCCTGGTTCTGGTGAAGGTTTCTTCCTGTAAAAGGGAGTTTTTCCTTCCCACTGTTGCCAGAACACTTGTCCATAGGGCTTTATCTGATTCTTGGACTTTTCGCTGTATTACTGAAGGGTGTTCACCTTGCAATATAAAGCTCCTTGAGGTAACTGTTGTTGTGAATTGGTGCTAGATAAATAAATAAACAAAGTGAATGGAAATATGGCAGATCAATGGGGATGCAAAAATGATAAGGTGGCTATAATGACCGATTCTCTTATAATCATTTTTTCTAAGACGACAAAAAATGACAGCATAAGAAGGTTTCCTTCTAATGCTGTCATTCTATTTGAAATTAAAGTAAGGAAAGTGAAATGATGCTCCAGTTATTTTCTTCGTAATGACATCATACATTTTTTGTTTTTTTTCCTAGAGGGAGGAGCCAGTGTTTTCCAAGGACTGCACAACATTATTCATCACCATGCCCTTGAAGCACGGTGGCAGCGGGACATTCAACCATATCACTATGATCTCCAACCAAGTAAAACTTTTAATGAAATGAATACATTTACTCAGGTGTTTTCAGTTTCCAGTTAAAAGCTTTATGTTGGTGTGCGTGTTTATTTTTGTTCCCTTATCTGTCACGCCCACAGGAAAGGGCTTACAATTATTCATGCAGTTCATATGATTCCATTTTGAAGTCTCATCATTTTAAATGACATCCTAACTGCATTTCCTGAAACACCAGATACTAAAGAATACATTTACTTGAAAAAATTAAGCACACTGTTATATGGTAGTTCCACTGGAAGCAATGGATACTATGTGCCAGATTAATGCATCTTCCTGCAGAGATAATAAGCAAAGTAAAAGTCTGAGATTGAATAAAAGGGTTAGGTAGAAAAGTTAACACCTTTAGAGTGCAATAGAAGTCATGCTAACATAGTTTCTCTGTTTTGTTGTGTTCTTTCTTACTTTTCTCAGTCTGACAGTCAAGAAGTAAACATGCGGCACCTGACCTCAGGAAGCTGGGAAGTCTCTCAAATTCTGGCCTATGACGAGGGCACAAACTCTGTGTAAGCATAAGTTACTGACACCGTAAGATTTACACTATGATAATTCTTTGCAGCTGATTAAGTTTATGTCTTTCAGTTATTACCTGAGTACAGAGACAGGAGCTACTCAACGTCACTTGTACAGGTACCTCATCAATTACTCAGTTTTCTCATGAAGACACAATCACACATGAAGCAACTATATGATGTTGTGGAAATACCTTTAATTGGTTTCTTACTAAGACTTAGTTTACAAAATTCTAAGCAGATTAGTTAAGACACAGGCAATGACATCACCCACTGGTTTTTGAACTCTGTGATAAGACTTCATGATAACTTTCAGCAAACGTGAAGCCATTCTTTCTTTCATTAAAAGAAAAAACAAACTGAAGCACAGTCTTGTTGGATCGGCCTTTGTACAATTAACCAAAAACTATTGCATCGGACACCAGGCAGGTTAAATCTAGAGGAAATCTTTTGGATGCCATGTTACCCGGTGTAACCCTGTGCAAAACCAAATCTGCCATTTTTCACTGTGGCTTGCATATGGATTAAAGAAATAAAAGTCCACATGCTGAGGTGATAGCTCTAGACAACACCAAAGCACCTGCAAATATCCGGTCATCCAATAAGTATCAGCAATGCAATGGAGACAGGTCTGTAGATACAGTACAGGTGATGAGTTTTGGTTATACTTCAAATTAAAGTCAGAATGGATCTCAGGTACTTTGAGTGCAGTATTATTGTTGGTGTCAGCTAGGCTATTTTGTGTATTTCTGAAAAAAAAAAGCAGATTTCCTGGGATTTCTACCATAACAGTTGGGCCTAAAATAGTTTACTGAGCCTGCTGGCACAAATATACAGGGAGCAGAAGATCCAAAATAGGAATGTTGCGTCTATGAGAGGTTGAAGAAGAATGGCCAGACTGGTTGGAACTGACAGAAAAGCTACAATAGACTACAGAAGCCTTTGGGTGTCATAAAATTACCTGTTACTACTATGGTGAGCAAAAAAGCAGTTCAAACTGAACAACACATCCAAAGTTGAGGTTAAAGGCCTACAACAGCAAAAGATCATGTTATCTTTCACTCTTGTCAGCTACAAACAGAAATGTGAAGCTCAAGTAAACAGCTTTAGAGTGAAAACTGTAACCTGGTCTGATGATTTCTGCTGGACCGCAGATGGTGTGTCAGCATCAAACAGCATGAATCCATGAACCAAACATGATCGGTGTCAACAGTCCAGGCAGCATCAGTATAGTGTTTGTACTTTATCCTTATAAAGTGCTTGGTGAATGCACAGATAGGAAAGTGTAGCTTTTTCATCCTTCGCATCAAACCAAAAATGATGCAACATTTTCTTTTATATTTCGGCACACAAATCTCCAAAATTCTAGTTGATTCACTGTTATGAAAGCATGGCAGTAGCAGTAATCTAGCTTTGTGATGAACAGATTTTATTCTGCACTGTGGGGCTCCATTAACTATTGTAGAACAGGACAGAGCAGTGAGATGATGATTTATAAGCTAGTGAATAATATCAGTGTAAGAAACATGATGAAACTATGTCATTTCTCTTTGTGTGTAAGAATTTGATGTCATAGATTAAAACAGTTGAATGAAAGTCCATTTCATTAAATTACCATGTCTTACTTTTCCTCGTTTTATCTTTTGTCTGCAGCTAAAAAGACAGATTATAACTTGGAAAATATAAATCATCTATACTAGACTTGTTTTGTTCTCACTCAGCTATGTTGTTCTCTTTAAACAGGGTCTCCAGTGTGGATCCGTTTCATAAAGAATGCCTAACCTGCTCCCTTTTCAAATCAGCATGCTCCTACTATGATGCTGTGCTCAGTCCCAACTATCAGCATGTTCTTCTCAACTGCAGAGGTAGCGCATGTTGCAGTAACACCATAACCAAGTGCTTTATATCAAGGTTACGATATCTGAATCTGTGTGACTTCACAATGTATCTTTATTGTTCTTCTAGTTGCCATTTTGGCTCCAAAGTGGGGAAAAAATAAAGTTTAGTTTTCCTGAAATTTATTTTATGCTCTTAGGGGGTAATGAAAAGAAAAGGTTTTCAAAAAATGATATGATATGAAATATGAAATAATGTGGATAGAGGCTTCAGTAAAGGTGAAGGTGACTGGACAGTCACAATGAGCACTACTATTCATGCATATTTCTCATTCCATAGGACATACACCTCATTATTTCACATTATGCACACAAACCAAGAGCATGAAAAAAAAACTACACTTCAACTTTACTAAAATATTGAGAGGTGGTTAAAGTGGGCCAGAACTGTTCACAATGGCATCCCAGCACCTTCAGTTAACAATATTACTGGTCAGTGACTTCATTTTTTTATATGTTGCAGACTGCCAGCATGGAGATACCTGATTTTTAATAAGAAAATAATGAAATCTAGGCTTTCAGAAACTTTCAGTTTCAGTGCTCAGCGTCTAGCTAGTCATACAACTTTCCAAATAGCTCAACAAGTATTGCAAATATCTTAGGGTGACCATATTTTTGATTTCCAAAAAAAGAGGACACTTAGCTCAGTCATGAAGAACTTGCTTAAAGAAACATATTAAACATATTTAAAAGCTGCCTTCTCTGTACGGTTAATGAATTATGAAATAAAATATGTCATATAGGCTTTTACAAGTCAACGAGTGCAAAAAAAACCCACTTAAAAACCTCTGGAATTAAATAACGGTACAGAAATAATGCCTCATCTGCATAAGAAAAAATAACAGTACTGGGTCGTTATGAAGGCTTGACTGGGACAAAAAAATTGACCAGTGCATTTTGACTAGAGACCGGCCCACCAGGTATTATAGGAAAAGCTATAAAGACAGTCTTGTTGGTATATCTATTTCTATACATTTTACATCAGATAAAAACTTTGGTTGTAAGATTCAGGAAATTATTTATTAAAAGCGAGACATTTAAAATGAGAATAAGAAAGAAAAGTATTTCTTTGAGCCCCCCTCTCCCTGTTAATGCCCTACCTGGCCCCCTGGAAACACTTTGCTAGATCCGCCCCTGCACAGTTACCAGCTGTCAGCTACATAAAAAAGGATCCTGGTGTTATTTGTCTCTCAGAAACAGTTCATAACTTTGACTCATTCATGTCACCTAAAAGGTAAACCTGTTTCTCCATCACCTGTTCAGCTCTGATGATTCAGTAAGGACATCTCCTGGTTTCATCATCATGTTTCCCTCTCACCACATATCCAAACCGATATCATATCACTATCAGTAACATCATAGCACCCACCCAGCTGTATAGAAACTCTGTCATGCTAGTAGCAGTACCAGTTATTGTAACTGACTGTAAAAAGTCAGCACAACGAAAATAAACTCCACCTAAACTTGGTTTATAGCTGACCCAGATAGACTGCAGGTCATAACTTCTTACCTGAAGTTCAGTTCACCTGACACTCGGACCGGCGGCCGCCTCGAGTCTCTCCTCCTCCTGTCTCCCCTTTTCCTCATCCGCCTGCTGGCCTCTGTGGAAGCTACGACATAGACACCACCAAACAACTGAGTTATTTTTACACATCTGCCAACATCTGGCCAATCCACCACCTTTCATTGTTTATACCGTTACAAAAACAACAACAACAACAAAACCATCGGCCCGTAAAAACAAAAAATCACCATCAGCAAATGCCCGGTATGCCCGATGGGCAGTCCAGCTATGGTCAGTAGGAGGGAAATTTCTTTTGCAGTTTGTCTGAAAAGATGCACTTGCGCTTTGGGGTCTTTTAAACATCATTAGGCGCGTTGCTGCGCGCTGTCAGTCCCGTCTGTGAGCGCAGAACAAGCGCCCACAAAACACCAGTTCGGGGATGACGTCTCACACATGGGTCCTCTGTCGGAATATAGGAAAACTCTGACATTTTTATCAATCTCGAAAATCCCCCTGGACGCCCCGGATAGAACGTGAAAAGTGGACATGTCCGGGGAAAAGAGGACAGTTGGTCACCCTAAAATATCTACCAATTCTTACATTTCTCTAGCAAAAACTTCTCATGACAATCTGTGCAGTCTAAGTAGCTTGGAAAGGAAGTGACTGGACGGGACTGAAGCAAGATGTGAGTGGGGGTTGAGGTGCTTGGGAATGGATCTCAGAAACGTATTGTAGGTGGCAGACACTTGGTGTCTTAAGCCAAAGCCTCTATCCAAAGATCATTGTTCATAGTGGACATGGGTTCTTTCACTTCTCTTTCAAACCATCTGTCTTCTCAGTCCAAAATGTGAACATTGGGATCTTTGAAAAAAGTGACCTTTATCCTTTAGATGCAGATGAACAGCTGAGTCTTATCCTGTCAAGGTGGCTTTTCTATGTTGTGCCATGTATTTATGGAGTGGATGTTAGGTTTCTCCCATGTAGAGGTCTGAGCACTCCCCACTGTACTTCACAGCATACACTATGTGGCTTAGCTTGTGTTTGGGACCTTTGTCCTTGGGATGAAGCAGCTTTTGTCTTAACCTCCACTAAGGTTTAAATACCTGGGACTCTCTCTCTAGTTTAAGAACTGAAGAGGCTTCTCGAATGAGAGGGGAAACATCTTCAACTTAAAGAAGCCCAGGGGAAACTTAAAGAAGTCCAGTATCTCAAGCTCCTTAGGAAACACTGATCTGAATGACGGAGAATCTGTACAGAGACAAGCTATGCAATTTGTCACAAAATGTGTCTGCTAGCGAAATGTATGAAGCAGGCTGTGATGTTTATGGGCAATGTTACTGGAAACACTTCTACCCTCTCCAATCTTAGAAGAGGTTTACAAGTTTGTGGACA